TTTATATATAAATAGATTTTTACTCATTAAAATATCAAAAAATATAATAAAAAGAGTTAAATACTCCTAATAAATTAACATGCAAAAAAAAAAATGTTAAGAATACATATCCAAAAACAATTTCACAAAAAATATTAATTTTTATTTTTCTCAATGGTAAAATTGTATTAACATTTTAGTGACATTGATAGTTTCGGAGGTTTGTTATTAATAATTTAGGGTAACCCACCCTAATTTTATAGGCCAGTTCGGTTAGAGAGGAGAAAATTTTGCTAGTGGAAACGACAACGTATTGTAATCTCTTAGGAAATTATTATATTCTAATACTAAAAAAGGGTAGTTAAATATGTTCTATTTAGGGATCTTTTGACTTTCTTATTTTTAATATCTAATTGCATACTGCTAAGTGCACATATTAAAATTTATAGATAAATAATCCTTTAATGGAACATTGCTTTCTGGGTGGGAAGTGTTTCTGTTCGCGCTTACCCCTAAACGCAATTTACTAGAAAGAAAAGCTTAGAAACAAAATTTTGATGCGGGTCAAAGGTGACCTAATTCTCAAACAACCAACAAAATTTATTAATGCCTTTTGAATTGGACCATTTGTCTAGCAAAGAGACAAGGTCTATGACTGTCTCAAATGTAAACAAAGAATTTCTTTCTAAAGTAGGTAAAGTTGAATTTGACTTGATAAATAATGTGGGATGAGGAAATGAGTTTGAATTGATTGAATTCTATAAAGTGATTCCCAATGATTCATGAGAATAGTGACAAATTGTGTTTGTCTAGTTATCAACATTGGAGTATGCTTATTATGGACCACTTTGACTGTAATCCATAGGCTGAGACTTGAGATGTGGTTAGGGTACGTTTGTGCACCATTCTCTTATGTGATGTGGAATTCAACTTTGAGCGGAGCAATTTATGGAATTGGTCTGCCCATTGGTGGGGTTAATCACTTTTCATTAAGGCATTCTTTTTGGATGTGTATGAGTTGTGGAGTTTTGTCCAAATATATATATATATATATATATATATTCAAGCTACAAAAATTCTAGAAACTTGGTTCGAGTCAAGTAATAGAGGATATTATATTAAGTTTATTTATGTGATTTAACCTAAAACAATACATCTAAATATATAAATTGGAATTGAAAATTTATAAAAAAATTGCCATGAATGAATACCATGCTACCTTGTTGGTAAGAATGGGAGGAGTCAATGAATTGGACTTGATGAAACTATCGTATGTAAACTGAGAGACTATCGTATGTAAACATAACTTAGAATTGGTTTGAATTCAAACCTACTTATGTCAACAATTCATGTCAACACAATTTTTCTACTGTTAATGAAGAGTAATGGAACTTAAGCTCTTAACCAATTTGTTAAGGTGCATTTCTTCTAACCTAATATGATGGATTTGATTTCCCTCTCACATTTATACCCCAAAAAGGAAAAATTCCCTCACTCATTCATAGCTTGCTCTAAAAAAACATGCGAACTAAAATGTATTAAAAGGTTAAATCCTCATTTTAGTCCCTCTACTTTGGTAAAAACCTTTTTGTTAGTCCTTCTACTTAAAAAACTCCTTTTTATTCCTAAAACTTTAAAATCTGATCCTTTTAGTTTCTTCATTAAATTTTACATGTGTGATACATTAAATGATAGAAATTTCAAAATAGAGTGATCAAAAAAAAGTTAGGCTAAAAATGGCCTCAATTTGGTCCATCTACTTTGAAAAAAAAAAGCTTTTTTTGGTCTCTCTCTTTTAAAATTTTCATTATCAAATGTCAAAATTTAACGAAAGAATTAAAAAAGGATCGGATTTCAAATTTTAGGGATCAAAAATGAGTTTTTTAAATAAAGAGACTAAAAATAAGTTATTTGCCAAAGTAAAGGGATTAAATTGGGGTTTTAACCATTTTTAAAGTCAAAGGACTTGATTGATGAAGAAAAAAAATTAAGGCATGGCATGTGACAGTATGGTGATATGACGATGAATTGTGAAAATTGGAAGACTCAAAAAATCCAAATTCCAAAGGATGCTGCTTTAATTCCTTACAGCGTTGTAGGATTTTGTGCTTTGTTTGGTTGTTTCC